TGTCTAGGTTATTATGAAGTAAAGGTAAAATAACATGCAGTTTACTTTGGGTAAAGATTGAAAGTAAGTTATTTTACTGAAATGTGAGTAAGAATTTTTGAAATGAAGGTAACAATTCCAAGATGAATGGTGTTGAGATTCTAATATTAATCTCTATTTAGAGTGTAGAAAGGAAGTAAATATAAAGTAAAAATAGAAATTTTCAAACATGATTTGAAAAGAAGTGTATATGAAAACATTAAACAGGAAAAACAAATTATGACACTGGAATTTAAAGTGAGAGTTTCCCCAAAATAGAATCAATGTGTTATATTTAGAACTATTGTTTCAGTACTAATCAAAAAAACAAATATTTTCAGAGTCTAATAGTGCTAGATATAAATGAAATTTAGTCTAAATGTAATAAATAGATTTTCCATGTAATTTATGAGGAAAAAAATTACATAAAGCATTTGTAGCACATCTTTTCATGTTGTGATTTCTTTTTAACTTTTGATGAACTTGACTCAAATTCACACAGCTTCATAATTATAATCTTAAATATTAATGGTACAAATTAGGACACTTTGATCAACCTTACTTTTTAATTTTGAATATTGTGAAGAGTGAAGTTAGGCAGCTTTGTTTGAGGACATATAAACTTCAAGTACCTACTCAAGGACTGCACTACAGATTCAGTCCTTCCAAGCTTTGCCTAGGGTCACAGGCAAAACTGTATGCCCTATTGTGGTCATTTTTGACAAACAATATAAATGCCACCATTTGAGAGTAACTTTTAAACACTAATGTGTTGATTTATTAATGGAAATCAGCAGCATAAGTAATAAAGTATACTTTAAACACGAGTAACATTGCGAAACTCCTCCTTTATAAAATCTCACATTGTTTTTATATGCATTGTTCAGCAGTAAAATTCTCAAGGAGAGGGTGCCTCTATAGACCCTTGTGTTTTTAGTTTCCTTAACATGTCAGCGAGAGGGCTGGATAAGGCATATAGCTTGTCCTTCATTCTGAAGGAGTGAAGGAAACAGGAAGTTGGTGAATGACAGACACATCCTGACAGACATGCACCATCACTGGACAATCTCTGCATCAGACAGTAATTTACATTATCTCTAAACCACAAAATCAACCGGTGGGGTGAATGCTGTTTTCTCTCTTACAGTTGAGGAAACTGGGATTTAGAGAGGTATGAAAACGTGCTCAGCACCTCAGTATTAGGCCAGCATGACTTTAAACCTCTCACTGGTACACACAAAGCAAAACCTGACAGTTTTTTCTTTGTGTTGCTAGAACATCTCACATAACACATATCACATTTTGTGCCCCACTGTAATTATTGGTGAGTATACCTTTTGACATTGATATTTCATTGCACATGGTTTTAAAGTGCTGATTACATGTTAGGCTAGTAGTCACACTCTCCCCATTTTGTCCCATAGTGTTAGCAGAGAGCTTTGTACTTAAAAAAGGCTAAATAAATTTTATTGGAGATGGATATATATATATTTTAAAATTGACTTGTTAAATGCTTTATATCTTTAGTAAGTCTTTTTTATGAGTAATTATCTTGTATGTAGCTAAATGAGTTTCTAATGCCTTTTCTTGGTTTTCCGTCTCTGTTTTTTGAAGAGCTATGTTTCAGAAATGAGTTGAGTGAAAGTCCCTTTTATATGAAAACTGATTGGCTTGGTAAAGTTAATGGTAATACAAATGGGAAAAAAAAACATCACTCCACAAAGATTTTTCTTTTTTCTTTTTTTTTTTTTAGTATTGGTATTTAAAGAGCAGGGATTTGTCTTTTATAGGGTATGAGCAATATTGTCTTTCAGTTATCTATTAAAATATATTTAGTTAATAATTTGAATTTTATTATATATATATATGACTCCAAACTAGCCCATTTTGGGGGGCTGTTGGGTGACAGGTAGGTAGGTTGTGAGGCTGGAGTGTGACAACCTGTTATCCTCTTTCAAATAATAGCTTCTCTTTCTCTAAATTCCTTTCCCCACCTCTGTTTACACAGTAATCATGAAAACAAATTCCTTTGCCCAAATCAAATGTAAAATATCTTAATTAGAAGTGCCTTTATGCCATGCTACAACATCTTAAGCCATTATTATAAATGATAGATATGTAATTCCTTATGCTTTCTGTCAAGTAGCCTTCTCCCATTACTTCATGAATGTGAAAATATGTATCTTACAGAGTAAACTATTCTGGTTTTCACCAAAGCCAGACTTCACAAAAGCAATCCTCATATTTCACCATGGAAATAATTTTCCCTGAAACTCCAAAGGGTACAATGTTATAATTAGGCTGTGTTTTCAAACACATCTTTTTTTCTTTATTTTTGTCCCTTCACTACTATGTCGTATATCTACACTATTCCAGATTCTCCACTTTTCAAAATCAAATGACATTTAAGTAAAGCCTAAGTCTTCTTTGGAAACTTGCTACATTTCCCCCTTCCTTTGCACAACTAACACCCCTAATTATTCGTACAGTTTCTTGTTTATTTCTACTATAGAGAGAGGAAAGAGCACTGATGTTGGAGTCACACATTTGGTTTGAAATTCTTGCAGCGCAACATGCCTGATTTTCTTTCTCAGTAAACATGAAATACTATTATCTATTTTATAAATGTGTATGGAAAATTAATTCAGATAATTATGTAATATATAGAACATTGCTTGGCATATGATAGGTACTAAAGAAATGATTATTCTTCTTTATCTGTGACTTTATTTCCTGTGTTGTGTTTTTCATACTACATAGTGCGAGTTGTGAGAAAAATTGTTCTATGTCATTTGCATTTTCAATAATATTCACTATGGTAAATATTTAGTATAATGAATTAATTATTTACCTAGATGGCTGCCCATAAATTTTTCCAGCGGCTGTAAGTTCTTTGTATATTTATGCATGGGTTCGTGATGTCTGTGTTTATACACACATCTATTGATGCCAGTTTTTGACACTCATGTAATTAATGGTAATAGAGGGTGGGAAAAAGACAGTAAATGAATATTAAGGGTGGGAGGGTATGATTTACTTCTTGGTCTATCAATCAATTTAAATATGCTTTTTAAAATATCCAGTAAATTATTGCGTGCATGTTAAATAATTTAAATTAGCAATTTATTTCAAAATTTATTTTGGGGAAAGAATTATACCCTTATGACAATAAAGAATAAGCTCTGAACTCTTTTTTTTTAAGTTAGAATGTGAATAAAAGAGACTAATATGACAATGTTGCACATGATTTCTTTCCACATAGCTTGTTTTATCTCAATCACATTTTTTTTCTTGTCAATTCTTTCCTTATTTTAAGAGTAAAATATCATGAGCTTCATTTTTAAAATAATGTCAGTAAGATTAAAAAGGTAATTTTTATATCTGTTGTATCCATATTTAACATTCTCGGAGCTGATATACAATAGTGACTAGGCAAATTTTTTTTTAGTTAAATTATCATATGATCTTTCTTGTTACACATCCAGGTGAAAAGGATAAAATTGAAACCGCTTAAAATGTATAGTGATTGTTAAGATATATAGCACTTATCACATGCTAGGCACTATTCTCGGCAGTACATGTTTTTTGTGTTTTATGTAACTAAAAATTAAAAATTTTAGCTTATTTAATGTTCATGTAAACATATCAATTAAGTAATGTTACTCCACCCACCACAACAGTTAGGAAACAAAGGCACTGAGGGCATAAATGACTTGTCCAGGATCACAGTACTAGTAGAGTTAGCAATTGAGATTGGGTGGTTTTGCTGCAGACTCTGTGCTGTTAATTACAATGTTACAAATAACAGTGTCAGAAATGAAGATAAATCTGAAATTTTGCCTTTTAACCAAGGAAGTATTTCAGAAATATTTTGGAATTTTACAGTCTTTATTAATATTAATTAATATTAATACAGTCTTCAGTAAACTACCTCTTTTTTGAAAGTATCTTTCCAGAAAAGTTTAAATTTATACTCAAAATATGAAATTACTTTAAATATATATCAATCACTAGAATCAAAAACACAGAGAGACGAGGGTGGGAAAGGAAGATCCAGTTTGTACTTGACCGATGAATTTTAAAGTTGCTAACTGTGAAAGACAAAACCTTCAAAATTTGGGTCATGTTCCTTTAGTATTTTTGCTTCCTAAGATGAATCTATCTAGATTTTAAGAGCAGGCAGGCATACCAGTTTGTTTTAGTAAAACAGCTTTTTAACGCTTAAAATTTTTAGTGCATTCCATGCATATATTTAATACTTTTAAGCAAGATTCCTCATCTTAAGTTGTAAGATCCTGGAGAATTGGTTGCATGTTTTATTCAATATTCTAGCCCGTGTTCCTAGCCCAGTGCTTTGTATTTCAGGGGGCACTCAATAAACCATTGTTGAATGAATGAATTATGTTTGAGCATAATTAATTAGCATAAATCTATAATCTTAACAGATTTACTTACAAAGATGCTTAGAATAGAAATGTAGTTAATATGTAGAATAATTTCTGAATGGATATCAGGGCCTGGTATAAAAGTAAGACTCATATATTTAAATAATGTTGTTTTTAAACTCATAATAATGATAATGAATTAATTTTTTTAGTATTCTAAAATTAGTACAAATTACATTTGTGGAAAATGTTTATACATAGCAACACAGTAAGTCTCAAATCTATTTATATATAATAACAAATTATACAAATTAATCATTAATTATTGTACAAATTAATATAGTATATTTATATTAATTTGTCCAGTGAGACTGAATCATTTATTTTAGTCCTTTTGGGGCCTGGGAAATAAACACTGGTAATATGTGCATAATTAATGTCCTTTAGGTTACTTACTCATTTTTATATACTATGCCTGTATTCATTAAAATGAAGTGAGGAGGTATAACAGATATTCTAGTCAGGAGATAAACTGTCAAGGAATTAAGGTAAGAAAAGCTGTATTTGATCACCCTTTTTTTTTTTTCTTGTTTGCAGGATTCATATTTGGGATATTGCTATTTGTGTTTTTGAAGAATACTTCTTTTTGAGTTAATTTTTTTTTTTAACCATCGGTCTTGGGATACAGAAGAGGAACCAGAAAGACACTAATTTTGTTTCACATTTGAAACACTCGCTCTTGAGGCACTCTAGCACCTGATTACATAACCATGTGGCCAGCACAGCTACTCGTCTTCATGATGCTCTTAGCACCGACAGTTCATGGTAAGACCTTCAATTAGTTTTTTTGCTCAATGCTTAATGTTATCTGAGTTTTTTATACTAGACCCTTACTTTAAATCTTTGCTTTAAGATGTTACAGCTTTTGCCTATCATATATTAATGGTTAAAATAAGTAAAATAAGTTAAAGTAAAAGGCCATAATATGTACCTTAAGCTGCAATAAATACGACTTTGATTTCTTAAGGTACTTTTGTAATGTATATATTACCAAAGGTTTTGTTTTGTTTTTAAACTCTTGCATGATTTATTCTTTGTTTTTACTACACTTAAGGGAAATCAGCTCAATTATTAACTGTATAAATTGTGTATTTTTTGGCTTACATATTTTTATAATTTAAATAATTTTTAGTGTTGCTAGTATGCACATTTAAAAGAAAACACCCCCAAATATCTGCTTTCCCAAACCAAGTAATCATTTGTTTCTGAGTGTTTACTACTCTATTTAATTTTTAATACATAGAATACAAACTAAATTTCTCATTAAAGGAAAATTGTTTTTCTCATATATCTTTCAATGAAAAAAACAGAAAACATCAAAGTAACCTGAACATATATAGAAAGGAAGTTTTACTGAAATATGCTAATATACTCATAAAAGACTACTTTATTTAGACATCTTGGTATTTATAACACAAATATAAGAGTTAAGGAATCATGTACCTTTGCAAATTTTATAAAACACAATTATAAGTAAGCTAGACAAATTCTATACAATTTTGTATATAATATTCACTGAATCTCTAGCAAATTAAAGTCTATATGTTCCTTTTTCACAATTTAAAGTTTTCTAATTACTATTGGTTTTACACTAAGATGAAAATGGTATAATATAGTCACTACCTCTTATGTTAATGGTAATTATAGCAAAGAAAAAGGGACACAGCTGCCTTCACCACTGCTTAGGAGGTCTCAGAATATTCTAGTGTATCAAACAGCTGAAATGAATTTTTAGTCTCTTTAGCTCACTTTTGTTTTTAATTGATTACAGAAAACTATTGTAGTTCATCAGTGATGCAATTCCAAATTTGGCCTATGTTCCTACATTTCAACTTGAATTGCATTTTGCTGGCATTATAAGAACTGGATAAAATAACTTCTGTCTCTTTTGAAGTTTTCCTCTAAATTTCCCCTGATTTAACACATTTATTTCTGACATATCAGTGTAAGTGTAGCACCATTTTAAAGAATGAAAGGAAAATTATACAACCATCTAGTTTCAAATTTTGTAAATTTTGTCAAAAATTTCAAAATGTTTCCCTAATTTATATTCTGGTGCTGCACTTAAACATTCACATGCTTGGGTACGTATAACATTCTGTGACATGGGACAATAAAAAATGATGTTGCTTTAAACAAGTGCTTTTCTAATTATCTGTATATCTAAAGATGATTCTAGTTAGGTTTTTTGATGTTATAAAAATGCCTCACTCATAAGGTTCTTGTGAGGATTGAATAAATAGCATATGTAAGGAATCTAGCACATGTGTGATGAATAATAAGTGCTTGAACATGTTAATTTCACACACACACACACACACACACACACACACACGGGTCTCTCCATGTAACTCTGCGAAGTACTTTAAATCCCCTAATAGGGCGCATAGAAAATTTACCTGGTATTTAAAATATGTTGGGCTAAAAACTTAAGTAATCCTTCCCATTTTATGTGAACTAGTTTCTGTTAATTTTTTGAAGTATGTCAGGCTAAACAATATAGAAACTATCTACTTATTACCTTGCATAGATATTTTAACTGGCACCAGAGAAAATGCAAGTCAGCTTTGTTGGCCTTCTATAGATTCCTCTACTGCTGTTGTGGTACCACTTCTGACTTGTAAATAAAGGGCTTCACATGAAGAGCCTTTTGGAGCACAGCTTCCTCATAAATAGAGGAACACATGAACCTTTGATCAGTGCTTAAATCTCCTAAGATGGACATTTTTAGAATACGTACCAACCTGGCTTAAAGGAATATTACATAACCCCAAATCTTAGATGACTGAGTTTAAATGGATGTCAAAATTATATAAGTACTCTTGTTTCCAAAACATTCCCTGATAACATCTCCTTGCCTATTGTTCTTTTGATGCCAGCTTTATCTGCCCTCCTCGCCATAGACACTTAACTTTTCTGGGTATGACCTGAATCGCCATCTTTTTCTCTTGAGCAAATGATAATGATGACTACTGATTTTATAGCCATAAACTTTAAATGTATCAGTACGATTAATTCTCACAACATTCTCATTGATTTAATAATATTTGTTAATATAATCTTTATCATTAACTTTTTATGGTTCAAAATATTGAGGTATCAAGTGGTCGCGCAACTTGACTGAAGTTACGCAGCTATGATGAGACCCAGTGGGGATTTAAAATGACGGACCTGGCTTAGTGACCTCTGGTCTTACTGCCAGCAGATAATCAATTCCTACTGAGGGTATTCTTCCCTGTGGAGAATCCCGTCTCACCTCTCCTGGTCATTTGGGATAGGTGAGGCAGAATCGCAGATCCTCTAACTCTTTCATGTTCTGAGCACAGGCAGACAGGGCTTTGAAATCTGACAGACCTGAAGTAAAATATCAGCTTTGCCACATCCTAGCTCTGTAAACTAGTTAATAAATACTGTTTATCACCCACTATATGCCATAAAACTGTGCTAGCTTCTAAAAATACGGTAGTAAAATAAAATCTTCTTAATTCTTCCATCAAGGAGCTTACAATAACTAAAAAACTTACAAGTGTACTTTTCATCTGCAAGAGTAAAGATTTATGCTATGCAGTTATTTTAAGAATGGATAGATTAATATATGGATAGCTTCTAACATAGTGTGTGGCATTTGGTAAATCTTCTTTATATTTGATTTTTCTACCCCTAACTTCCTTGAAAGAGACTAAACATCTCATTGTTAAATAAGGAAAATGCATAATTGTCCTAATTCTTGCCCTGAGACTTGAAATAAATAAATCTTTTCCCCTTTAAACCTCAGTATTCAAGTTTTGCCATAAATTTGTTAATACTAGTATCTAAACAAAATTATTTTTAAACCAATATGTATGAAGGCTTAGTATATAAGGTCAGCATATATTAAGTATATACTGTAAGGCTTAGTATATAATTGTCAGTATATAATATATATATTATATTATTGTCAGTGATGCAAGCATTAATTGTCAGTATGTATGGTAGTATATAATTGTGATAACATTTTTGCGTGATCTATAAATAGAAACTAATCTAAAGAATTAATTCTGAATAAAGTTTACATTAGTTGAATAATCGTCACATCATCCTAGAAAGTCAGGCCAATATTTATATAGAAAAACAAAATTAATCAGTATGTCCACATTGTATGTATATGTATGTATGTGTGTGTATATATATATATATATATATATATATATATATATATATATATATGTGTGCAATTCTTTTAAATTAGGAAATGTCTCTGGTTCCATGTTTATCTCTCCATATTCGATGTCTCTGTGTGCCTCTGTATTTCCCTTTCTGTTTTCCATGATGTGCCCCCTTCCTGTACAGCCATAAAACCCTTATCTATAATGAAATGAGACCTGGCAGAAGCAACAAGGAGCAGCTACAGCAGATGGCCAGTTCTTTGCTTCTATTTAATGTAGTGTTGCATGAAGATAAAGGATTTTTTTTATTTATTTTTTTGTTCTGTTGGTGTGATTGGGAACAAGAGGAAATAATAGAATCGGAGAACAATAATCCAATGATAACGTGGGCACCTGGGGCTCATGCTAATTGGCAGTAAAGGCATACCAAGGTTCAATGTGGGACCTGGGCTTAGGAGATCTGTCCTAGGTATGACTTCACCCAAGACACAATGGACTGGGAATTGAGCAAAGGTGATTGGGGTGCTCAGGTATTTTTAAATATAACTCATTTAATTTAACTGTAGTTATAATCTGTCACTATTGAAAAGATAGAAAACAGGATCATTGGAGCTCTCTATGTGTAAAGGGAAACCATATTTTTATAGTAAATTTTCATAAAAATAGAGTTTAAAAATTTTATAACCATTGTATGCATACCTTTTCTCTGCAAGTCTATTTCTTGTCATTAAAATTGCAAGTGTGTTTATATATTCATGGACTTTAAAAGCTAACCTGCTTTTTACTGTGTTCGAGAAGTTAATTATAATAAACAGTTCTTAGCAGGGACAAAACAATGATCAGATGCATATAGCTTTAATATATGTTTTTATTAATTTGAATTTTATTATTAATCTATTTTAGCAGTTATAATACTATGTAATGTGTCAGTGGTTTAAAATAATACCCATATATTTTTTTTAACTTCTAATAAGATGTGAAGCTTGAGAAAGTTAAGAATTATATTTTACTACAAAATATCTTACCATATAATTCTTTTTATGAAGTCATATTTTATTAAGTGTGAAAAAGTCAGGTTGACTTCTAAGCTCTGCTTAACTTTGTTATTTTTAGAAATTAATCATCCTTGAAATGTTTATAATGTTTGCCAGCCTAGGTAATTTGCGCGATTCGTAGTAATATCATTGTTTTCGTGGTCAAATATGTTATACAGAAAAATCTGTGTCATGGCCATGATGTATGAGGTTACTGTGAACACATCCAGCATCTTCTTCATTAGCCATTTGGAGCTGAATTTCAAAATATATATTCTTTTAGTTAACTATGCAGTCCCTACTACCACAGTGTAAACTACAAATATGCATGGCTGATAGGATTCCTCTGGAAGAATGTGTTTAGAAACCTTCTCTCCACACGTGGTATGCGGGTTATCAACTGGGAGTTTCTTTTGCTTTCACACTTGCAAAACATGTTATATGTGAATTTTATTGTAGTGATACTGAAGAGTAATGTGTATACCTTGAGAGTAAAATAGCATTTTCTTATTTTCAAATTTTATATATTGTGCCTACTTGAGGTGGTTAGGTTCGTATCTTATTTTTTATATTTCTTGCACTTGGG